ATCCAGGAAGCGTAAGGGACTTCTGTAAACCAGTCTCCTGGTTACGGTTTTCATACCCTCATGCCAGGTCTTAGTTTGACCACCCTTGACCTTTTTCCACCCACTATCTGCCTCGGCAAACATCGCGCGCCGTGGCAATCTATTTGGTGACCTACATATCACGTCCCAACCACCGTAGTCTATAGAGGTCGAGCACTCGTTCCAGTGAACAACCACATTTACCTAAAACTCTGCGTCAAACTTCAGCAGTCCTTGTACGGTTAACCCACTGGACTCGTGCAATGCGACGTAGACAGCGGTGTAAGAACACCGACAATCTATTGTTATCCTGTTCCTGTCATGACCAAGTCTCTGCATTGCAAAGCAGGACTGGCCAAACTGCTGCAGCATATATTCAACTAGTTTGCTTGCATGTGCACTTTGGTAACAATCGCATCTTTTTAATCCTCACTGATTTATTTGCTAAGTGACCAGATACGCAGTGAAACACTCCGCAGAACGGAAAGATGAATCCTAAACTTGATTGAACACACAACCAAGATCGTCCGCAGAACTAGGGAGACCGCACCAACTACTGATTTACTGCAAAATACCCGTCGATTGCATCAAGAGGTCCAATTGGCAAACAAGCTCGTTTTCAGTGCATAATTTACTAGCCAAATACAGCACTATTTTATAGGTCACATAATTCAACAAAATGGATTGATGAAAACCGAGGGGACGGCGATCACGGCTCATTTGGTCGAAACCGAACATCGTGTCAGAATGAGTGAAGCAGTCTACACGATCACCGAGGTGGGATCGAAGCAGGCCAAGCATCGCTTACTGTCAACAATCGAAGCGATCGCAATTCGGTTGAACACCCCCCTCCCCCCCTCTTGTGCGTTCAAAAGCAGTCGGTCAGAGCTCTGGATTTACCATGGCCAACCATAAACGCTAGAGTGGCATAAAGCCGGTTATCAAATCGTGTGTGTATTTGATTCATTCGACAGTACAAATGACATTTACAGAACGATTTGAAGGCTCATACGCCCCTACTGTATTATACATAGTATCTATAAACACGCATACAAACGAAGACACTATCTACGTCTTTTCATCTCCTTGAATCATGTGAGTCTGTGACCCATAAAAGAGTGCTAGTAAAATGAAGCATCGAAAACGAGCTTGTTTGCCAAATTAACTGTTGATTTATTGGTAAGTTATCACGCTAAATAACACGTTAGTAAATCGAAGTATAAATTAGTGAGTGCTTCGTTATGTGACACCTTAAAACTATCCGGATGTCCAATGTCCAATTTTTATAAAACCTCTTTCCAGTCGTACAGAATTTTGCGTAGAAGATAACTAACAGCATTGGATAACTGTTCCATCTTTAGTTAAACTTTTCTATCATTACTAAAACTGCGAACCCCCGAAATGAGAGACGAAACTCGTATCCTTGAACTGCACAGTCACAGCTCGACTCAATTTAAGAGACGGGGTTAGTTCAGGGGAATGAAACAGTACAACATGCACGGAACGCACTTGATCTCCGGCACATCGTATGTGTACATCTTGACGTGCGGCATCCTCGGACTCATTCTTCGGGATAGTTTTCAAAGTCAAACTTCCTTGTCCACGTATGCGATTGTTCAGACTGTCTTCACCGCGAAGTTTGATCCGAGCCAACTGATCGGCAGGATCCGGATCTCGCTCTGGCTTCATTAATCTGTGCTCGGTGAGAAAAAAAGACAATTGTGTGAAAGAGATTAATCACTAGTTGGAAGCAAATTTTGTTGTCAATATGATTTTGAAGAAATTCTAACCAAAATAGTAAGTGAATACCATTAACTTCTGAAGCGCAGTCGAAATTCCGGTATAAGTAGTCAATCGAAACCGCCTAGCATTTTTCACGCGTTCGTTTGTTCCGCTAGACTCGCGACAACAGTATGCATAAAGCGGCTTTCGTACGCTGATAGTCTGTGATCATCTCCTACATGAAACGATCAAACCTCTCCATCACCGGGTAGGACTGGTTGGAATGCTTCTATGTGCAGTCGATTTGTCATGGATAGCCGGACATCGCGATGATTATAAAGACTTCATAGGTTAATAAAATAAAGCAAACAAGTTTGTTGTATACCTATCGACACTTCATCGAACATTCACCACCGCCAGCTTGCCCACAAGGGAAACAAAATTGCCTATGAAACAAGAAAGATTATAGTGTTCCCCTGTTCATCGATCGGATCTTTGTGGGAATCTTTGTGTGTATTTGTTGATGATTTTAACAGACATGTAATTTTCCTCACAACACTGGGTCAAACAAAATTTGGTACATTTTTCTACCAGATTCAATTTTTCAACTAGATTTCGTTTTTACAAACAGACCGCAATTTTTCGAAGTCCGGACACGTACTTCTCTGAGTAATTCAGATCATTGTACCTTAAAAGCACATCCCACTGTATACAACAAAACTAACCGGTATAGGTTTTTGAGAAGGCCTTCCAAGATAGTCAGTCAAACAAACTGTTCGTAGGATAACCTAGAAAGGCTAAGATTCATGATTGCCGCCACAGATTTTTCGGTGTTTCCCGATCAGAACCCTACTGTCCCTTGTGAACATGTTACGGACTAACTTAATTTTTGTTTTAATCAGTGTTGCCTACTCGAAACAGTCTTCATTCATAAAGACAGATATTCATCACCGCTACTAAAACAGCTACGCAAGCGGAAAGAACAGGCATTTAAACATGGACAAGGACGCATGTCAAGCGGCTTACAAATTCGATCAAGGCTGAAATAAATCGGCTGAATAAATTGCACATCGACACTTTCCTGGGAAGTTCTAGTTGTCGTGGCATGTGGAGAGCTATCAACTGCCTGTGTGGCAGTACCTATAAACACAAAAGGGAAACTGTCGACGTTGAAAGACTAAATTCCGAATTTAGTCCAGTTTCACAATGCACTGACCTGCTCTACGCCAACACCATCGAACCTGCCACGGTCCTTTAACAGCTACTGAAAACAAGATGAATAAAGCATCTGGTCCGAATGAACTATCATCCGTGTTAATCAAGGCATGTGCGGACACTTTCAGCCCTATTGTCTAAAATATTCAATGACTGTCTGATAAGCGGAAAAATTCCTGATATTTGGAGACTGGCCAAACTAACTCCCGTTCCAAAAAAGGAACCTGGGAGGTATCGTCCCATAGCCTGTATGTCAGTCATGCTCAAATTATTTGAGAGATGCTTGATACCGTGGGTTGTCACTGAGTCTAGGGAAGACGACATACATGAATTGGCATATCGTTCTTCGCGCTCAACACTTGGTGCCGTTGCGTACCTTGTTCATTCAATAATTTCGGCACTAGATAAGAAAAGTAAAACCATCAGAATGGTGTTCTTAGACTACAAAAACGCTTTCGGCAGTCTTGATCGATCGGTATTGCTCAACCTGATTACCGAAAGTGATGTTGATCTAAACATTAACAGATTGATCCGCGATTATTTCACACAAAAAGGTAGTTTACGTGCCTCAACGGCAAAAAATTCTTCACTTGACCAGTTGCCCCTGGTGTTCTGCAAGGTGCAATATTTTCCCCATTTTTTCTTTTCGATGTATGTCAAACAATTTTCAATTCCCACTGCATTCATTGGTCGTAAATACGCACATGACGTGGTTTTAGGTTGCAAACCATCTACCCCTGAGGAGGCTTCCGCAATTCAAAGCAAGCTAAACGACGTTGTTACTTGGTCTGTGTCCCGTTCCCTTTAATTGGATGCCTCTAAATGTCAAGATGACCTTTCCCTCTTGACCGACGTACCATATTCAGCTCTCACAGATAGATCCCCCAATCCTCTGCCAATCATGAACCCGTACCGAAATCAACAACGGTAAAATACCTTGGCGTCACACTATCACACAATTTATTATGGTCACTGCATGCTAAAAACACATTCTGTTAGAAAGCTTTCATATTTCCCACTCCGATTGAGAATAGTTTCTGTCCCCCACAAGCTGATTGTTAGGTTTGTGAATGCATGCGTGCTCCACCACTAGTTGTATTGCTCCCCAGTGATTTTTTCCGTCATGTTGAAGAAAGACTTATTTACTGGCAACAGCTCTGAAACATCTCTGTATGTAGCTGCATCGTCAGGGATAAACTCATGGATTCTATCATAGACAGTCACTTACAAGCACGTGAAAATTTCACTACCAAAATAATCTCAGACACTCACCACCACACAACGAATTTTCAAAAGCTGTATCTACATCATCCAGATGCTCAAGATTTAAACTTTTATTTGCACGTACCTCTTCTTATCGTAATTGTGTTTTATCCAGCACGTCTACTTATTGACAAAGAGAAAAATTTCACAGAATTGCGCAATTGCTTGCTTCATTGACAAACACTATATCTGTTTCGTTACAATTTTGTAAAGTTGAATCTACAAATATGATGTAAATGGTGAAAATTCACCCATCCGGGTGCATAAAGCTACTACTAGCTTGACTTGACTTGATCAACCCAATCCTATGACGTTAAACTAGTGAATATGGTTGAGTTGATGTGAGTTATAGAGATGTGGACAACACTCTTCACCAATGTCTGTTTCGCTACCCCCGAGAGGAGTTCGCAAATACCTGAATTTTATAGAATCAGTCAATTTGGTCTGTTTTTTCTTGCGTAATCTCCTAGATAAATTATCGATCAATATCAATGAGTTGGGAATTCCCAAAATGTTTTGTATCACATTCGGAAAAAAGTGAGAAACTCAAGGTGGAATGATTGTCTTATTTAAAAGTAATTCCTCATTGGAAATCAATTCCTCGTGCAGTGTAAACGTGTGTCATAGAGTGCATCTATAACAGTGATTATTGTCCACTGACAAAATGGTGATTGGGTGCTACCTCATGCAGCGTTAACGTAAAACTAAATGCTTCAGTCAGTCGGAGTTACTTGGTGGTGATATGGTGGACTCACAATGCTGTACATTCGGATTCGAGCCACCACGAGTTTGCTGGATCAATATTCCTAACAGCCGTATAGTGATATTGACGTATCCTACTGGTAGCCGTCACATATTGATTTTGTATGATACATCTCACTTTCTAACCAGTTAATCCAGTATAACTCAAACACTGTTTTGCAAAATGTTTGTTGAATAGATAGATTGGTGCAATCACTTTTTTCCGATTAGGTGTGGTGGCCAAATGAAAGCGGCCTGGATAATTCATGCAGTGGATCAGTCAAGCGGAGTCGGTGGAATTGGATCACACACAAACTTCAGGTTGGTATGGTGAAGACTTCACACGGTTTGATCATTTCCATTCGAAATAACGGGCCCAAACCCAGATAGCAAATTATATTCCACCTCAAAACACCTTTAATCAAAGAATTGAACCGTACGTTCGGAAGCGTACAGAAAGAAATTGGAACATCAACTTACTGTGCAACTGTCACCGTCGATCTGGTCATATCTTTGTAGGCATCCTCGTCTGTTTTGGCTATCTTTCGTTTCCATTGAGTTTGCTCTGCCAGCAAGTCACTTTGAGTGAAAATGTGTGTTTGTTTGTTGCGATATGCATTGTCAAACGCCTCATCTAATCGAAGACGAACCCGTGGGGGTGCAAATGTGGTGGATTCCGATTTCGATTCTTCCTGGATTCGAACTCGGTAACGACGGGTTTTGGGTCTGGTTTGAATGTTTGCAGTGACAGGACGCAAATTGCCGGTCGATTCTAGCATATCCCGTATATTATTGCGTTCTCTCATGAGACTGTCATCATCTGCGGAAGAATGTTGTTTTAGAATTGTGTCGGATATCATGAACAAGAGTAGTGTCTTATTGCCAACAGTTTCCTCTGAAGAGGCCAACTGCTGGGTTGTTTTAACCAAATCAGGTTAGTCTCGTATAAACCAAAAATCGGAGCATTTAACCAGCGAAAACCGGAACCCTATAACGGTGGAGTGTGACATTCACAAACCGTCCCATTGCATTGCGGGTCAGGTTTTGGCTACCCGAAATCTCTTCTCAAAGAAGATTCATCTGCTTTGCCCTCAGTAGCATCCCGTCCACTAGCAAATCATGGACGTTTTCCTTTGCTATACAGGTTTTTTTCATTCCAATTCAGTTTGAACAACCATTAACTAAGCATCCTCATGTTAAGGTTTGGGTGGCTGTCTTTGGCTACCCAATCGAATAGAAGCCTATTTTGACTTGACTTGTTACTTGGAACGTTGAAAGCAGTGAGAAGAATGAAACGGAGAATTATGGTAGACAAAGTTTTCAAGCACAATACCAGCAGGTGGTGGGTGGCAGTGGCGCGGTGGTTTAGTCACCGTTACCGGCGTGCTTTGGACTCTATGGTCCGAGGTTCGAGGCCCACCACCGCCATCCAACTTTGGTGGCAGGCAGCTTTGCTGTCGCCCGGTTTAATTCCACGCCTAACCTATCAGAGCCTTATGTGGTTCGCCACTACACGTCCCGGGATTTAGGTTGCCGGTTTCCATCATTTAACAGCAGATCCTTGTGACTGCTGTTCATCACACTAGAAGTGTGTAATAAAAAATGGCATGAGGGTCACGGTTTACAACACTCATCCATATTACTCAGTGTCTCTAATGATGTCCCCATCCGGGAAGCCTAACGTGGCTTATATCAGCAACTTTTCTATCTATGTATAAGTAGCATATTGCTTCAACACCCAAGTAGCATTTTGGTTAGCAATTATATGTATATATATACAACCACTTCGCGGTTACATTGCAAACGTTTTATCAACAATCGAGGTGATGTTCTCAGTGCAGCAAATGTGTGCTGCACTACAATTTTATGTGGATCAATCTTCTCAACTGACCGCTCGCTTCAACTGACCCCAAATTGCCTTTTGGAGCGAATCGATTACTTCCCCGCCGTTTGCTTATGCGCGGAGTTTTTTTTATTACATATTGTTCATGATGAACAGTAGACGGGTTGAATCCCGTAATCGTATAAACCTGCTATTCCACGATGGAAACTTGGAAACCTAAGCCCCGAGACTTGGGGTGGCGAACCATAGAAGGTCCCACTTGGTTAGGCGTAGTACTATTGGCCTCCTCTAGCTATCCTCCCTATCTAACCTATCACTTGGCACATGCCAAAATCTCATCGTATTATCATTAGATTGCTTCTTGGCACAAATGGATAGATGGTTTGTTGATCGTCAATTGCAGGTACATTGGCCGACTGAGTGTCCAGAACTGCTATCTGAGGTTTCGACACATGAATCCATCAACACACATTAATAACTCAATCAAAATACTCGCATTTGGGTACGCCAACAACGTCTCAATCCAGAGATGATCATTTTGATAACATTTATGCGGTTGTAGAAGCAATTACATCACGGACTAAATAGTATAATGAAATCTTCTAAGACTGGACAATACCTAAAGGTATCTTTGGCGTTGATGTATTTCATGAGTGGTGTTCTGTGATAGAAAACGCTCATTCATGAATGTTTACCCAGTAAATTGTTGACTATTGCAGACTGAAAAAATGTACAAAAGAAAAGGATAGCAATTCGCTTTTCATTAGCAGCATAAAAAAATATTTGTCCACAAGGAGGCTTACATATCAGACCGATTCCAGTATACTAACCTATGCTACACGACCGTCACCGTTGAGTCATCTGAGAGTTACCGAGCTTACACCTGTCAAGGGTGGTCAAACAAAGATGTGGCATGAGGGTATGAAAACCCTAACCAGGAGACTCGGTCACATAGGTCCCGTTAAGCTTCTTGGATGGGGACCTCGGGATGATCATAAACAATGACTAGAGACACAGACACAGTGACGCTCATGTATCTACTCATTATTCCCTTAACACCAGTCTATATGAATCCTATATCTCCCGCTTGAGTTTGCTTTTAACATTCTAGTCATCTTTTTGCTCTTTTATTCAAAGGGACAGCCAAAAGATAGCAACCAAAACCGGCACACGAAAGTACATGTTTAATGGTAATAGACACTGGACTGAACTATGAAAAAATTAGCATCCTTCTTAATGTTTTCATCAGTTGACGCACATACACAATCTTGACAATTGATTAATTACCTATGTCGCGCTCTTATCTATCATCCCTTCTCTCTTGTATCGCACTGTTGATTCTACCGGGATCCAACTTTTACTGTACTATTGCTTACGGGGAATTATTCGGAAATGTTAGCTAACAGTACCCCTACTACTATGCTCACCTGAAATGTACAAACATACGGTTCACAGCTAAAGTTGTCCCATATGATAGTGGGCCCAAATCTCTTCTTGTTTCATATCTTTGATCCCGTATTAAAGGCTATTCCCTAATTTTCACGCGAAATGAAACTCTCCGGAGATAGATACTATAGTTTATTTACACAAAAGACAGCAAAATATATACAGTTGTATACTAGTATACTGGGACCAGCAAATGTAAATGTAACATACTTCCAGCTGGAATTATTTTACACTAGTTAGGTATAAAAGCAATTGGGTAAGTTGTGAAGCCTGTGTAACCCTGGTATACCCCGCCAACACAGCAGCACGTTCAATTGCTTATAATTGTAGGAGCTTAATCCCTAGAGGGCGTTCATCGCATGTAGGTAAATTAGTACTATAAAACGTCAGGAAAATGTGAGAAGCACGTCAAAGATACGATTAGAACGTCGAGGATCATTCTTCCTTCGTATTACAACTCCTTGGTATGCCAGCACATTATTAGAGCTCTAATAGCTCACCTACGAGAATAAGCACACGCAGGTTAGCTATTAGAGTTCCAATAGAGTGCTAACACTCAAAGGAGCTATAATACGAAGAATATAGATAACAGATTATATATATATATATATTTGCGTAATATGATGTGAAATACAGCTTAGTATATAGTAAAACAAAGACGAATTCACTTTTCGATGACACAACGCTAAACCACTTACTGCGAGCCATGCGCCGTTATAGAACAGTAGAGTACATGATACAGGACTTGCGCCAAAGCCAGATGGAGTCCAGTTTCTTAAATCAGGTGAGATCAAAGTGGATGACACTGTTTCCACAATCGTTAGTGTTCCAAGTGTTTTCAAGGTTAGACCTGCAAAAAGATTACACTGCTGATGGGCACTTGGGCAACTGAACGATATCAGAGAGTTTCAGATACAATACCAGAGCTTTCATCCCTCCCGCCCAGAGGACTCATAAACGGAAAGAACTGTGCGAACCTAAGATTACACCAGTTATCTACAATCTTCCATTTTAACCGTTTCACCTTCTGCGTTGTTTGGGGCATGTGTAACGCTTGTCACCAGATAGGTTACCACATCAAGTAATGTTTGCCCAGGCAGGGAGCAGTTGGAAAATGGTAAAGGGTGATCAAATGAACACCTGGCATGAGTGTATGAAAACCCTCATCAGGAGACTGAGCCACCTAGGTACCGTTAGGCTTCCTAGCCGGGGACGCCGAGATCATAGTCATCAATGGTTAGAGACACTGAGCGAAATGGCTGGGTGTCGCGAACATTGGCTCTCATGCATCTACTCACTATAGTTGCAACTCATTATTCATTACTCATTAATCTTGGAACATCAGTCTATATGAATTCTCTATCTTCAGCAGAAATTTGCTTTGCACATTCCAATTTTCATCCTTCTCTTTTATCGAAATGGGCGGCCAAAAGACCGCAACCAAAACCGGTGCACAAAAGCACATGATTAATGGTTGTAAAAATTGATTGATTGAACTACGTTCTGTATCCCAATCCACCCGTCTCGTTGTTGCTATTGTTGTTATTGTTGTGGCATTGGCACCAAGCCTGTCCGCAAGCATCATCATTGTACAGCGTAATGCAGTGAAGCGAACTTCACTGATCGCTGCAAGCCGCAAGCCCGTGTTACATATGCATATATATATATACATATATATATTACTTATTCGTACAAAGCAGGATAAGGAAGAGTGAAGTGCTATCTTGGAGATGGAAGAGAATGGATGGTAAGGTGATGCTGCAAGAGGACTGAAGGCATAACTGTTAGCGCGACCCTTTTGATGCGGTTTTTAAGGACACTTAGGAAACAATGTGTCCCAAGATGCATCGAGCATCTTTTTGAGGGCGTTTACGCTTCCACAGTAGACTATCTCAGTTGTCAGCTAGTTCCAGCTGTTGATCATACGGAGCGAGAAGTTGGCTCTGATCGTTTTGTATACCCCAGTTTTTTTATTTTGAGGCTGTGGCCTCACAGAGTCTGGTCCTCGTCTGGGTCAAAGGTGTCTGGTACCGCGAGAGTATCTATTTAGGGTTCTGAAGGTTTTGATTAGGTCACCTCTCAGTCACCGATACTCGAGGGAGAACAGACCTAGTGCTCACAGTGTGTCAGTGTAAATCATTCCCTTGAGGAGAGAGAATATTCGCCTGAAGAGGTATTGACCCTTCTCCAGTACCAATTAGACCCGCACTAAAACTGGTGCCCACACTTGGACAAATACTCCAAGTGTGGTCGTACACAAGCTTTGTACAGAGGGACAAGTACCTCTGGGTCTATTCAGCTTTTACAGTGATGCATTTTCTCTGTGAGCTGCTACGGAGCACCGACGCGATGAGAACGTGGAATTTATGGTAATCCCAAGATCCTTCATTTCAGAGGTTAGTTCCATTGTCTCGTCTTTAGATGTCCTCAGGTACTGAGTATTACTCACCGGCTCTCCCGTGTGTAGGAGCTTATATTTGCCGCTGTTTCTAGACAGACTCCATTAATTAGTCTATGAGTGTAACCTGCACAGGTCACTTTGCATCCTTTTATCGTCAGAAAGGGCTAGAA